GAGCACTCGGATGTTCACGCTTCGTTCGCGATTAATCGTTCCGCGCGCCGCAAGCGCCCGATTCGACTGGATTTCGATAATATACTAACACCGCACGCCTTTTGTGAAAGTGTTCGCAATAGGTGCTTGCAAGAGACGCGGGTAACGTAGCTTGTGAATCCACGTGCTTTAAGTGGCAGTGCCAGCGATGGAGGAGCTGCGATCCCAGTAGATTCGCTTTTCTTATTTATGTTATCATATGAATATTGATACTGGGTGTTTTCTTTGTTTACTTTTTAACTGCCATGACTTAAAAAGTAAGTGTCTCGGGACAGCTAAACGCACGATTTCCGTTATTGCGCTGTCGGGACGAAATGAATTGCCGCGCCACTAAGCTGCCATTATTTTCACTTTTGTAATTTTTATCTATCATGCTTTTATTTTTATGGCTCAAAATACGCAATATTCTTGTAGAATACATTTCCATTGTTCTTCAAGTTTTAGTTATTTCATTATCGCCGCAGCCATCCTTAGACACACTCTCAAATAGGCGTACAGACGTCATTACGACACATTTTACTCTCTATTAATGAATGACAGCGTAAATTTAATGGTTTGTTTCCTTTGTTACATAATAAGGGAAACTAACAGACAAGGATACTAAGGAAAGTATAGGGGATGCTATTCGAAGTAAGTGCAAGGTAAATGTAAAAAAATAAAAGTGGATGAAACGAAACGTACGTGACGCCAACCGAAACAAAAAGTGCACCACACTCGCCGCAGTGGATGCAGCACTGATACTGCCATGTTTAAAATAAGCATATTTGATCTACAAAACGGATGGAGGAATGAGTATGCCGCCGTAGCTCAGTGGTAGAGAATCGGACGGGTCATTCGAAGGTCACAGGTTCGGGGTCTGCCGGTGGCAAGTTACCTTTAGGCCCACTTTTCTTGCTTCACATTTAGAGCACAATTGCTTCTAATAACATAATCTGTACTTTCCTTGGCGTCATTGTCTGTAAGTACTCAATAAACTCTCTCTCTCTCGTTTTTTTTTTTTATGCAAGAAGCACTAATTCTACCCAGTGGAAGCATAGGAAAACTATTTTTTTTTCGTTCCCATGTATTCAGACGTATAAACGCGCTTCTGGCATAAAGCCTTTTCTTAGCCAGGCTGGGAGTCTTGCAAATCCAGAAAAGATCCTGTATCAGCAGCCCGACTTGCCTCAGCTCTAATGCAGTACACGTTCTGTGGAATTCGCTATCGTGACTTTTTTCCTCCTATGCGCCTACCGTGGCAGGTGTGTATTGCAACGCGTTCAAGGCACACTGCAAGCTATGTTGAGAGCTAGGGTGGCGCAGGTTTCTCCTGCACTGTGCACCTGGAAAAACGCCGGTAAAAGTGCTTGGCGTATAAGTGCCTGCTTTTCTAAACAGCGTACATGTGCGCTTTGAGCTGCGTACGCAGAATCCAGCGTGTTTTTTTTTTTTTTGTACGCATTAGCGACAACGGCATTCAGTCTCGTGCAGGCGCCTTCGCTCCGACCATATGCTGACTCTTACGTAGAATATTTTGCAGCCGGATTACAGTAAAACCTACACGCTTAACATTGCGTCCCTGTCATTTTGGTAAGTGATTACTCGTTTTTAGCAGACATCCAGGGGTTAATTCCGTTTGCTCCAGAACGTCAGCTGTAGGTGTCCGGTATAGCAATAGGTTCGCGGACGTCGGTTCGGATGAAGTGTAGTGGGTTCGATTTCCGGAAATCGCATTTTGTACGGAGCGGCGGTATGCAAGCACGCCCACAAAGACTTAGCCGCAGCCTAAAACTTTTTAATATAATGACACGAAAGAAAAGATGCAAGCTTGCGATTAAAATATCTATACACAGTGGTTATGTGCTTGAACCGACCTTTGGGCAAGTGGACCTGTCTTCTAGTCTCGAGAAAAACAAGGCCGCTTGTCAAAATGCCGGCTTAAGCACACTATATACTGTTTGCTGTTTATTTTTCTCATCGTAAGTCGGGCCATGCTATTTCATGTAACCCTCAGTGTGGCGTGCCTTATTATCATATCGTGGTTATGGGACGTAAAACTAGAAATATTCGTTTTACTTGACGCGGCAGCAACAAATACGTTCTTGTTTGTCCCGAAGTACTGTAAACGTGTGTGCCTTGCAAAGCCCACAATGAGTTTTTTTTTTTTTACGCAAGCAGTACTTTCTGCTTAGGTGGAATGTCGGCGCATGACTTGTCTCATGGTTGCTTATATGCGTCAGCCAATTACAATACTTGTAATTGTGACGTCATAGTGGGTGCATTCGTCGGCCTTCTCAGGAGGAAACTATTCGCTTCGAAATGCGAAAGGAATATATGCAGTACGGTTCTGTGGTATAGAATTTGTACTTTAGAGTATTCACTTGTCACTAAAATTCAAATATTCGTGCGCATGTTGGTGTACCGTTTTGCATGCGAAAAATATGCGTGGCGCCACCTGTTGTTGGGTCGTCCTGCCACCGTCAGTGATCTAATCTGTTTCTTTTGTCGGTCATTGAAATAAGCCTCCGTAGCCTGTAAGTGCTTCTACGTGTCAACTCATCGCTTGAGCGAGGCACTCCGCCCCGTTGCGACCTTGACTGCCCGCTTACGTGGCCGCCTGGAATATTTTCTTCTTTTTAACCACGCAGAAACACCTGCGGGTGTTTCAATTACCCGGCGATGATAAGGCTCCCTTACACATCTGAGACTCGCCAGGCGTTTCTCCTCCGATCTGTCCAAGCCTAATTAATAACCAGGAGATCGACGATGGAATCTTGCTTCTTGCACCCTCGCGTTAACAAAAGTGGAATTGAGATTTAGCGAGTCTTTTTTCTTCACTTTGCTTCTGTGAGCGATCGTTGGGTGGTACTTTGAGGAAAACTTAACAGGTCTAGAGACGTGTCGAAGTAAGAGAAGTTTAAACGTGTTCGCCTGCTTTATTTTTAGGCGCGACACAGAGATATTCGCCGAATGCATAAGGGGCTTTTCGAGAGTTAGCGCTTCAATTTGGTTGTGCCTTGACTGCTATCGAGTTGAGTCAGTGCATATAAAATGGGGCTAAACGTTGACAGAATACACGACTGAAAACTTTACCAAGGGGTGTGGTCTATGTACTTCTATGGTTTCTGCTCGATCGTCACAATTAGTGGAGCTCGCAGCACGCACAAAACACGAATTTTACGCGTGTTCGATCATGAGTATGCATGTAAAATGCACGAGTCTCTTTCTTATAAGTTTCTGCGCGATGTTTTACGGACTTAAATTTGCCGCGATGGTTCAGCGGCACGCAGTGGGTGCAGGCGTGTACGAAGAAATTCTTTCGGGAGGGTGGGGAGGGGGGCATTCTTTTAATCTGAAGTTGGAGCCGGGCATGATTTTGTGCTCTGTAAGAGTCCTTATCCCAAAAAATTCAGGCTACGCCACTCGCACGCAATTTTTGTGCGATGTGCAGCGCAAGATATTATCTAGCGTTCGTTCTTTGGACGTATCTCTGATAAAGGATAAAGATAAAAAGTCACAGCTTTGCCCCAGAGGTGAAGCGATGAACGCGATAGCAACAAATCACGCAAAGAATGGCAAGCAGATTGAAACGTGCCCCACGTTTCTCACGCACAAATTGACGCACGAAACGTAATCACAGATGAACGCGAATAACTTATGACAAACGGTGCGAAACCTGCAAAACGTGCAAAGCCGCTAGATTGTATAAGGAAGTTTTTTCGGGGGCTATGTATACTCGCGCGCATGTTGTCAAGTACAGTTCACGACTGTGGCACGGATGATCGCGCAAACGAATTTTCACTGAAAAGGTGAAGCAATGAATGTGATAGCGACAAATTTCAATGCTATACGAAGTGAGGCTGGCAGTCAACTCATTCATATCTGATCTCAAGTAACTCTAGAAAACGCTAGTATAAGAAAACGCGGCCGTTCCAGGCACACTCTTCGCACCGTTTTTTCGTGTTGAGAGCCAGCCTGTAGAAGCTCCCGCCCGCTGTGGCAAGACTTGCGCTAATTGTTTCCGCGATAGTGTGGCAACCATAAGCGCCCCCCTCCCCCTTGTTCACTCATGAGACAATGCGCGCGCAGACGACCATGGCCGGAAAGGCAATGTTAACTCCGCAGAAAAAGGAAGCTTGCGCATCCTTCCCTGTATGTATTTACATACATATACGTGATTGACGGCGGCGGCTACGGCAAACCAGCCAAAACTCTCCGTATAATTGCTATCGCAATAGAAAAGTTACAGCATCTCCTGCTCAAGGGGACCATGACGCGATGCGAAGCTGTACAGGAGGTTCGTGCAGCGCACGCGAGAGGGGGCCGATTATGAACGGCTACCAACAACGCAAATGCGCTGTGCCTCACGGAAACGTAAAACGTGTTTCCACGGGGAGCGTATGAGAGGAGAAAGAACGTCAGGGGTGTGCACATGCACAGTGGAGGCATAGACGCGGCACTGCTGAGGAGGCGTTTCATTGCCTTCTCGGGTGACTCGGAAAAGAGGCGGGAGCGTAGAAAAGGAGCGAAAGCGGGAGGGGCGCGCATGCGCTGTAAGAGTGGTGACGCCGCATGCCAGATTGAGCTCAACCCTAAGACGCTTCGCATCTAAAAAAATCTAGGGCTGTGTTCTATACCATAGAATCCTTGCAACAGTAGCACTGCGTCGCAATCTGCGTGGTTGTAAATTATTCGATCTTATCAGAACCCATTCGCCACCCTGTGGTATTCCGTAGCAGTTATTTGCAATATACAGTTAGACACGATGGGAAAAACTGGTTTAGGACTGGCTTAGCAACATTAGATGCTAGTATATTTCTGATAAGAAAAAGAATACGGTTTTCACCGAAGAGTCGTTTTAGGTAAACTAGAACTCTCGTCAAAGTATGAAAGTACTCTTTTTTGTGGCCAAGTTAATTCTTGACACTAATAATACTGGCAGTATCACTCTTCTGAAATGCTTAATTTTGTTCTCTACGCAGCCGGAGCCCCTGACCACTTCGTGGGGTGCCCCTGTCGGCGACAAGACCAATGTGCTCACCGCTGGACCGCGAGGTCCTGTACTGCTTCAAGATGTTGTCTTCCTGGATGAAATGGCACACTTTGACAGGTACACCTTTTTTATGTTATCAGTAATACGAAATCCTCATATGACTCGTCGAACACGTAAGGTGACCGTCAATATCAACACGACTGAGAACATCGCCCAATGACGTATGCGTGACATAACATATCGTTACATCTTGAGACGGGATGACGTCACTGGGCAGTTACATAACGTCATGTCGCGTGATGACAAAAACAGATGATTTGAGGTTTCATTGCAGCTTCAGAGGAGGCTCGATTTGAATCCTTCTATCCATGGCTCTTTTGACATATATGCCTAAAATGCTAGGCAATGACCAAGTGAGTACCAGCAGTCCAAGTTCTTGCTGAATAGTTCGCAGGCTTTCCACACAGCTGTTGATGATAGTTTCACATTTTTGCTATGACAATTCGCAACTGACCCGTCTTGGTGTGCCTTTAAAAATATGCAAACATTTACTTGCGAAAAATGCGATGTGCGACGTTACTAACTTAACTAATCAAAATGCTTTTTTAACGGCTATTCAAAATTGTGTATGATTGGAAGTGCTGGTCTTGTTCCCCTGTCCTATTGAAGTAACGTATTTCACGTGTTATCTTGCTACCATGCCACAACGCACACTGCTTGTTTTTTTTTTTGTTTTTCATGCTTCCTGGTCAATGCGCGTAGTGTACTTTGTGTGTTTTGCATTAGACTAGCATTGCCGGTTTTATTGTATATTCATGTAGCTATTTGTAACGAGAATTACTGCTGCTTTGCGAATCGTGGGCCGTGTTACTGATTGCGTGCGCTTGTGTGTCGTGACAATCTGTAAGCTTACTGCATTATTGCTTCCCTGTGTACCGCGGACCGTGTTACTGGTCGCGTGTAAACTTTGTGTTCAAACTCTGCACTGTACCACTCCTGCCCTGGCTGCCAAAGGGTGGCTGGCAGTATTGAATAAATAAATAAAAAAAAATAAGGCATGGGTGGTAGCGGCAGGTTTTACAGATTAATTAGGATCTTTGAGGGTTCTTTAGGTTGTTTTTTTTTTTTTTTGCATTCGCCTTCATCAAAATGAGGCACTCAGGAATGGAGCCCGTGTGCAGCTGCGCAACAGTTTGGTCACTAAGCTATCGTGGTAGGTAATGTACCTTGCTTAATGTCACTGCTAATACAACCCGCTTGCAAGTGTTGACGATAAAGGAAAGTACAAGTCAGATGCTAGCATCAAGCGCTTGTCAAAGTTAGCTTCCCTGTAGAAAGATGTTTGTCAGGAGAATCTTGCTTGGGCAGGGATCATTTTGTTGTACACACCATAGCCCACGAAGAGAACATGTAGTGTCAACGTAACAACAACTGTTACCATAATATTATCAAGCATTGTGTCGAAACGAATGCACAGGTGTGAATGGAATCCGGTCCTTTTTTTTTTTTTTGAAAACGCCGCGCCGCGCTGGTTTAGTGGCTAAGGTACTGGGCTGCTGACCCGCAGGTCGCGGGATCAAATCCCGGCTGCGGCGGCTGCATTTCCGATGGAGGTGGAAATGTTGTAGGCCCGTGTGCTTAGATTTGGGCGCACGTTAAAGAACCCCAGGTGGTCGAAATTTCCAGAGCTCTCCTCTATGGCGTCTCTCATAATCATATGGTGGTTTTGTGACGTTAAACCCCACAAATCAATCATTTTTGTTGGAAAACATCACTTACATGACTGAATCATTAGAATATTGTAGCGGTTAATGGCCGTGAAGAGGCACACACAACGTGCATGCCGAGTTGTACGCATTAACTTGCTTTATGGGCAAATCAAGAATCGAGTTGTATTATTTCCTGTGCTGACGTGGCTAAGGTGTCTTACTGACACGAGCAACGAGTTTTAGTGACACGAGCAATGAGTGACTCTTTTTTTTTTTTTCCAAACACTTTGGTCGAACACTTTTGGTTTTTGGAATATTCAGGAAGCTGCTTATCCAGTAAAGCTTGTTCAAGATTGATGGTTCTAGTTTAGGCTAGATATATTGGATGCATATCATATCGTTTACTGAAGATAAGCATCGCTTAATTGTCAGAACGATTATTGAAACCTAATCGAACGATTTGATGCTTTGTCACGAGCAGCTACGATTGTTGCGTCACTAGGCGGATCAGATCTGTCAAGCACATTCTTTTTTGAGGCCTTCAAGATCTCCTTCGTCAATGCGACAAAACACAGTTAACCCAGGGAATACACCGGAGGACGTCTGTGCCAACATGCGAGTGTGAAGACTTTGCTGACCCCAAGGCCGAGAATTAGGGTCACCTTCACATAATGTTTACTTGAGTGCACAAATATTTGAAAATATCTCTTGGCGAATCGAAGTCGTCATAAATGTTGGGGGTTCTTCGTTCCTGACAGTATTACTTGGAATTCTTGAGCACAGTGCTGAATCTCAAAAGCCACATTTTTGCCGCAAGGGGAAGCAATGAATGTGATGGAGATAATTTGGAATGCAATGCTGAGAACGGCACGCAGATCGAAACATGCAGCGCGCTGCTCACGCACAAATGAGGCACGAAAACATACACAAGATGAGAGCAAACTAACAGCGTTTACTGCTCGACACTTAACGCACTGTTAAAAAAAACGATGCACGAAAGGTAATCACAAGGATATATGAGTGCAAACTAACAAATGTCCCAGTTGTTATACTTCGCTGTGTATTCACAAACGAGGCCTGTACAGCGAGTGAAGTGACATTTCTGGGCCCGGCAACTAACGCAATCGTTCCGGTGTAAGTCAAAGGCACACGATTCTTGATTCCCACCGAAGAATAAGCACACGCACGAACATCTTCACCCCCTCCCATTCAAGGGGCAAAGTAGGCGTGAAAGACAAGCGCACGTGGACTCATCATGACGAGTAGGGCGCCGAACTTGGGGGGGGCTTTTTTTTTCTTGTGTTCTCATATATATAGATACGTATACATATATGGTGAATGGCGGTGGCGGCAACGGCAGAAAGCCAGCCGACACTGTCCATATAATTGCTATCGCAATAATAGCACACCATCGGTCAGCTGCTCGTAAGCCAGCAAATCGTTACATGAGTCTGCAAAACATACACAGTGCATCCACTCTTGGCGACCATGTTCCCATGGCAAAACTGAAACGCTCCGAGCGCATCAACGCCTGCTCACTTTCATGCGGTGGTTAGGGTGTCATGCTGTTCGTTTGTCCACGTGCATGTCTACCGCATACAAATAACTTTTTATTTAAAAAAGAAATTGCGTGTTTTGCATAAATGCCACAGCAGTAGCCTGTGTGTTTAGGTTACCTGTCTTTGAATCCTCTAGAAACTTCCATTCGTTTCTCTTTTTGTAACAGACATTCCTTATTTGGTCTTTTATCACATCCAGCTTACACACACTTTTGCCTTACTTTTCATTATTTTAAGGGTTCGTTAAAGTCCTTGCAGGAGCTTAATATTTGGTGTTTTACCAAAGGCATAATACACTCATAAGGTGCGCCATACAGGAGAACTCACTAAATGTCAATTTGTCTTCTCTATTTTTTTCTTGTTATTTGGATCGCACAGCATATCGCCTTTTGCATATTGCCTTCATAGAATTGTGACCGTCGTAGCCGGTACCATCACATCAGCATTTGCGTGCCATAACCTCTGGGCCACCAAGGCGGACAATAAAAATTTCACCTCGACCACTTATGTCCTAATGCAACTATGCTTTTATCACCACAGTTCACTGTCCTTTCTTATAGTGGCCGAGCACGCCTTGTTCTTTGCGCAGTGTCACTTGTATGTAATTTTTTTCTAGATTCATTCTAGTGTTCGTTTTTTCCTCATTCTTATGGTTAATACAAAACATTCACAACACTTGCGTTGAGGTTGGGTTCTCCGCTAGAAAGGAAATTTCGGGGAGAAGTCCGCCTTCGATTATTTAGCACTTGGTTTTCTAGTGTTGTGAGTACACGTACAGCGGATCGCAGAACGCCACCATGGAAATAATAGTTGCGGTGGTAAACAAAAGGTACACTTTCCTGGCTTGAATTTGCTTTTTATAAATAACTGCTGCTCTCAGTTCATGGATCGCACATGTCCGTTTGTGCAAACAGTTGCGAGGCTTGAGCTGCGCCCAATGTGCGTGTCGCAACCTAAACATACCATGATGTGGGTGTTTGCCTTGTCAATTGCTGCAGTGATCATGCATAGGATAGCGAGGAAAACAATGATCATCCCTCGTATTTGACCCTTAAATGCACTACGAAAATTGGGAACCCGAAAACAGTGAGACGGAAGGGGGTAGCAAAGCTTGGCGTGAGCGCGCATGATGTTTTCCTTTTTTTTTTGCATTGTGCAATGCCTCCTCTTCTCTCCCTCTGGGTGGGCATTGGACCGCAGTTCACATGCTTAGCAGTGCAACACTTCAGTTGCTTCAGGCAACAATGACGATAATGCATTAATAACCAGGCAACAGTGAAGTTTGGCAACGTGAAATGACTAGCCACCTCAATGACTTCAATGAAAAAAAACATATTGCCATGTAAGAAATGGCTGATCGCAGACAAGCCCGCAATTGCAAGCACATCAATTACTTAAAACTGACGCATACAAATACTTGTAGGATTGGCGCTCATTCGAAGGCCTCATTTTTTCTTTTTTTTTTTTTGCGCTCGTTGGTGTCGGGTATTTCGCGGTCACACCTATGATGCTAACAACAATTGTGAGGCAATAAAAGCATCATATAAACGATCTTCAACAGACATCGTCGAAACAGGGCTTCAGTAGTGACTGGTTTGGCAACTTATATTGCCACAGTTTTTTTTCCGCTATTTTCTTATTCAAAGTGACCAATTATCTTGTATATTACTCGCACTTTACTCGTTGACTATAGTGACATATGTTTTCACCTTGGTGTTTAGGGAGCGCATTCCGGAGCGTGTCGTCCATGCCAAGGGAGCCGGAGCCTTCGGCTACTTCGAGGTGACCCACGACATCACCAAGTACACCAAGGCCTCCATCTTCAGCCAGATTGGCAAGAGGACTCCCATGGCTGTGCGCTTCTCCACCGTCGGTACGCAGTGTTTGAGAGCACAGCACTTTAGGGGCCTTGGCTACAGTCTTACGTCATCATAGCTTGGTGTCACGCAGGTGAAACACAAGCTTAGAGAAACAGATACATCACTACATAACCATGTGTAGTTTAGTATAGTATAGCAAGGTAAGCAAGTGTGAGGATGTGAGGAGGAAGGTAATGAGGACGGGGGGGGGGGGTGAATGCACTGCTTAGCATAGCTTTGCATGCACAGTACCGCAAGTAGTTGAAGCGAGTGAGGTGGTGCATGAGGGTGAGGATGGTAAAAAGGGGAGGAAGTATAGCATAGCCATTTATAGCATAGCAAGATGGTAAATGGAAATGAAGACGAAGGGGAAAAAGGGCAGAGTGCCACTACAAGTGAATTTCTGCTATGCCCTTCCTGGCAGTTTTGTGTTAATTGGATCTGGGCTGATTTTTCATTTGCAACCTGTTGTTCATCACTAATATACCTAATAATGTGGCTTGCTTTGTGTACACACTATAAACCTCAATTTTACTGAGTGTTGAGCAGCTCCACAAAGTAGAAGTGCATGCATCTATAATCATAATCTGCATGAAAAAACAAGAGACCAAAAAAGGGAAGGACTAGAAAGCACAAGCACTGAATCATTTCGAGCCCGATTGTTGTGAGGCTGTGACATAGGTTTAGTGCGTAATACACCCACTGCTTCTGCAAACAACGGTGAATCTATATTTCTTGCCTGTTCCAAAGTGTTTGAACAACCTGCACTCTGTTTTTCAAATGAATAGTCTAAAATTGCTCAAAAAAGAAAAATTTTCACTAACCGAGTAGTCTTTAAAATTTTAATGCCAAGTACATATACTGCATACGCTATGACAGCAAACCTACTCTTTTTTTCATGCAAAGACATATGTTTGATGGTAGTAATAATCTGGGCTAGTTGAATTTAATTGCTGACCTATGTTCCACAAATAAATTCTTGACTGCTTCGGTCTTCATACAATGTTTCAGCTGATGCTTATTCATTATGACTCAAAAAAAAAAAAAACACTATTGTAACGATGAAATTGGATTTCACTGCAGAGTTTCAACTCGGCTGTTCATTAGGTGAAATCTGACCACCAAGGACTAGTGGTCTTGATATCAAAACTCATAAAATGCAGCCAAGTATTCAGCTTGTCTTGGCCACTTGTTATTCCTTCTCTCTCTTCTAATACAGCCTTCTTGAGAAGTCTTGTTGGTCATGTCAGCAATTAATAAACAAATGCTGACTATACATAGGACACAATTCACGATTGTAGTTAGCCAATTATCCACTCAGTAGTAATATAAATTGTGTGATTCATACTAGACATCCTACGTCTAGTGCTGCTTGTTAGTAGCATTGCAGTAGATAACTATGGGACTACCTCAAAGCAAACTGCCCTAGTAAGGTTCATATTTTTACAGCTTTGCAAGATGTAAACGGTCGTTTTATGTGAGTGTTATTTATAGGTCAGCTTATGAAATGAAACACAAATTCGAACTTTAAAACTGCCCTCACGTTTTTTTCAGGTGGAGAGAGTGGGTCGGCCGATACCGTCCGTGACCCTCGCGGCTTCGCTGTCAAGTTCTACACTGACGAAGGCAACTGGGATCTAGTGGGCAACAACACACCCATCTTCTTCATCCGGGACCCGTTCCTCTTCCCAAGCTTCATTCACACCCAAAAGCGGAACCCAGCCACCCATCTGAAGGTTTGCTAATCTTGTGAAGTCTAAGAATGTGCAATGTTCCAGTGGATTCACGTATATCTACGTTGCAAGAGTTCGGTATGCATCATCCTCTGTAGGTCTGCATTCTACGCGCATCAGGCAGCCTTACTTGCGCGGAAAGACACTATGGTTATTTCCCACAGTCACGACCAAATTATCCTGCACCTAAAGAAAGTTTGTGTCCTTACAGGAACGTTTTTTCTCGAAACAATAATCATTCTCAGTCTTGCTGCTGCTTGATTCCTTGAAGATAGTTAGCTTGCTACTATTCTCTAGAAAAGAGTAATGTCATGGTACTTACATGCATCATTAATGAACTGAAAATGCTACCTAGCCTGCATTAATAATAAAGGAAAGGCATTATGCGATGTGGACTACTGTTCCTGCTTGGTGACTAGATAAACCTACCTGGTGTCAGTGGGTTTAGTGTGAACCACCTAGCTCAGTGTTAAACTGTTACGAATTTGGGCAATATTTGCTCACCATTTCGATCTTTCACCCTGCTGGAAATCGAACTTATAGGTAATCTATGAGGCCACGTTTGAACATCTAGATACAATATATGTTTCATGTGATATGCCTATCTGCTGCAATATATTGACCAGATTAAGTAGCAACATACATTTAGTTAACGATATAGTAACAAAACACTTCAAAGAAATTGCGTCACTATATTCTGATGAGCTAGTGAAATGCACAGCTCTTGCGTTATACTAAATTGGAGATCCTTGAAGTACTGCTACACACAATTTAATTGGCAGTGATTAGTGTTACACTTATTTAGGGGTGATTGTAAGAGATTAGGCTGGTATTCAATTATAAAAAACAACTTCTTGAGGTTATTAAATTCACGCTCTTACTATAGACTAAACGAGGATGTATATTTCAAATTTTTATATAGTTATACTTCTGTTTATTCCCTCGATCACAGCTTTTTGCAAGACATATGGTGTTCTTTTGCATAGTAGTATTTGGCCAAAAGTATGTGAAGTCTCTGAAATTTGATAACTCCAACCACTCTATGCACTCATATGATTACTTGAAAAGCCTTTACTTTTCTTTTATTGTGATAGCAAATATATGGACAGTCTCGGCTAATTTTTGCTGTCACTGCCGCCGTCATTCACGTAAATGTATATATATATAGGCAGGCTTGATGGTGAAAGTGGCCATAGGGTTGCGCTATGGCCACTTCGATGGCGAAGTGGCCATAGGGGCACTTGTGGTTGCCATGCTAACGCAGTGCACGGCTTACGCCCCCACAGCAGGCAGGGGCTTCTACGGGCTGCGCTCTTAACACAAAAAAAAAAAATGGTGCCAAAAGTGTACCTGGAGTGGCCGTCCACATATAGATGCGCTCTATGCATAACAAACTGCCACCAGCAGCGACACACGACGTATAGCTCTTAGTAACAGCAAGCGCTGCCCACGGGAGGTGCTTCTCATCAATGCCGTCACTACGCACAAGCCCTGTTGTAGTCATCTACTGTGGCCGCGCTGCAGCAAACTTTGTTACTTAGCAAGCGCATGTTTACTAAACTAATAATAATATTGCTCCTAAAAATGCTAGCCTTGCTTTGCGAAACATTCCAATATGTTTCTATGACATTCATGGCTTCACTCTTTTGGCAAAACTGTGAATTTTTTGTTATAGCTACAAGCTGCTCAAACTTTTTCATAGCTACGAAAACTTAAGCCTCCTGGGATGTTAGAAAATATTACCTTAAGCATGATGCTTCTCATGGTAAAGCAAATTACAATAAAATGTGAACACTCGTTTGGCTTATCAAAATCTGTCATGCTGTCAACATTATTTTCGATAATTGAACAAATATTCAATACCTACTAGCCTCACAGCAAATGACGAGTGCAAGTCCACTAAAAATGCTCTCTGGTCATCACATCGACTAGGGGTTAATTTCTTCTTCTATTGCAAACAAATGTTCTTATACCGACTGTGTCCTATTTTCTTGTTGATGCCTATTGAGGTGTTTTCGTGTGTTGTACTTGATTTGATCATTATGAGCACAGGGTGAGGTTTCCGTGAGTATCCTACCTTTGGGATGAGTGTTAATTCTCAAGTAGGCGTAGATTTTCGATATTAAACTTTAGTTTAAAGTAAGCGCCCATCTAGTCTTCATGCTCCTTCCCGTGTTCTCATCTATTGCACTACGTGTTCGATACAAAATTCCTACAAACCCACGCAAGTTTTAGTTCTTGTAAGTAGATACCTTCAAAGCTTGACACTGTTACATCTAGGATTGATTATCTCTTTCAGCATTGGTGTTACAGTTACATGCATTGCCTTTGTACTGCAGGATGCCGACATGTTCTGGGACTTCATCAGCCTTCGCCCAGAGACCACGCACCAAGTGATGTTCCTCTTCTCTGACCGTGGTATCCCCGATGGCTACAGGCACATGAATGGCTACGGCTCGCACACCTTTAAGCTGGTCAATGCCAAGGGCGAATCGTTCTACTGCAAGTTCCACTACAAGGTCAGTAATGCACTTTGGCACTTAAGCATGTAATCTTTCATGCTTCCCAGTCAGTGAACATTTTCTCTTTTTGTGCAGCTTTGCTGAATGTGCGAGAATTTCTGAGTGTTCTTGTTTTGAAGTCTGAGGACTATATTCAAATGAAATCTGTAAATATTGTTTTGGACTACGTTCAATTTAAGGGAAAAAAGTACTATCGGTGTCACTTGCGAAAATCTTCACATTGAACGACTCTTTGAACATACTAATGCTTTCAGCAAAGTGACTACATGCAACAGTACACTGTTGAGTAAAGTTCAATTTAGGCACTTAGGACATTTATTATGCAGGTAGTTCAAATAATTTAACTTTTTTGTATCGTCTTTTTTCTTAACCTTCAGTCCGCAACCGTAGTCAAAATAACTTATTCATGCAAGTGCGTGCAAGTGTTCCAAAGGGTTAAGTAGACAGCAGTGTTTATTTGTCATTATTGTATCAGCTTTTGGCAGAACCTATTGTAGCTACTTTAAATTGCAATCGCAAAAGTGAGTGTGGAGCATTTGTGCACTTGGAAAGCATGCGTATCAATGCTTTTTGCATTACATGAACTGTGAAAAACCAAGTTTGATTCATCTGTTGTAAGAAGTTGCTTCCAGTCATTCAATTGGCCAATCAAATCAAAACAGATATACTCTGCTGTTTTTGCGCTGAGAGGCAGTTTTTTTAATTTTAGCAAAAGGGTGTTCATAGATTACCTGCAAGCAGAGAAGTTGCCCGGTTCTTCACATGTTATCCAAAAACGTACGCTCTTCACTTTGTGCTCACTAGCGGCAAAATGGCAATTCTTTCTTAGATGTGGTCTTCATTGAAAGTTTCAAATGTTTATCTATTCATGTTTGCCTTTAGTATTGTGAGTTAAACTTGGTGTTCGTTAATATTGCCTTAAAGTACTAGAGTTACCCATTTTTGTGCATTGTTATGCACTGTCGACAATTAAATGTGTAGGGATTCAGCCAGTTTCAGGACATTGTGAAAATCATCTAACAGTGAACCTGTGAGCATGTAAGCTTCTGTAACTTGCTAGCGAGATCACGTAGTGAGAAATTTGCTGTTGATATTCTCGAGCATAGTCATCATTTCGAGAACAATCATGGCCGCTTAGCATAATTTCAAGCCTGATAATTTTATATTGGAACAGTGCAGAGACAAGTTACAAAGGAAGACTAAACAACATGAGCAGTGCTTACGACTTGTCGCTTTATTCAAGTAAAACAGAAAAGCAAAGGAGAGTAAGAAGAACAAAGCATGTTGACGCAATCTGTGCACTTGACAATACTACACATGTAGCATCAATAAATCTTCTCTAAATACGTTAGTTTGCAATCAAGTAATGCAATCGACATTGCGCTAACACATGCTTCCCCATTCTTACAGATGGAAAATGTTCAGCTGCGTTTCTCATGTGACATCCAGTGTCTGTTAACGATGGTCATGCAGAAAAATTATGGTGTGCAACCGTAGGTGGCCCAGTGGGCAGATATATAAGCTAGAAACAAATAAACTAGAAACAAATGGCCTGTGGTGCTTGACTGTACGCGTCATCCGAGAAGACATATTCACACTTGAGGATAACTTATCAATTCTGGCATTTTCAATTCTAGCTTATCAATTCAGGAGCTTATGTTTTGCAGAAAATTGAACATCCGCGTTAAACTTGTTCGCAATCTTTTTTATACGGTAAGAAATATCATGAATATACGGAATTGCCGCTAGTTTCTTACCATTTGCTGATTTGGCATGTACATGGTTCTGCTTGAACGTTTTCAACTCTGTTCAAAACTTTTAATGCTGCGCAAACAATAGCATCATAGCAGAAGGCTGCATATTTCTGGTGCTGAACTTGGGATACAATGCTTCAGCACATTTTATTTTTCCTTTGAGAATCGTCTTTGTGTTGTTCCAATATGAACACAAGCCAACTACCCCAACTCTTGCTTTTGCTCGTGATCGTTTCATTTTATTTATTGCTTTATTCAATTCCCTCTTTGTTCATGGATCTGCATGATGCCTACTACTACTAGTATGACCACAATGGCATAAGGCAAACTAAACCAGCTTCACTATAAAATTGCATGCGCTGAAGTATTTGTTGCTTGCACAGTAGCTTCCACATTGTGCAGATTATATTCAGCTTAGAGTAACCAGAGATATTTGTTTATTCCAGACTGACCAGAAAATCAAGAACCTGCCTGTGGAGAAGGCCGATGAGTACGCGTCCAAGGATCCTGACTATTCCATTCGGGACCTGTACAACGCCATTGCCAACAAGCAGTACCCTTCTTGGACCTTCTACGTCCAAATCATGAGCTTCGAGCAGGCAAAGACGTGGAAGTACAACCCCTTCGACTTGACCAAGGTATGTAGCCGAAGGAGAGAGCATGGGCTGCTACAGTGTCACAGTGGTTACGGTGTTCTCATGATCCAGATGTCAAGGTTCATCATAGTTGTGGTGGTCAGATTTTGATGCAAGCGAAACGTTTTTGGTTTATGTAGTTATGAATAAGTGTTCTTGTTGTGCATGCCATTTAATTCAATTTTCTTAGAGATTTAATGCCGTCAGCTGTCCGTATCATTGTAACACATTGTGTGATCGAGGTCGGAGAAAACGACCAGAGAAAATGGCAAATAAATTCCTGTGTCTATAGTAGAACTCAAAAGTGGGTGCGTGGAAACTTATTCGTCGTTGGATAGCGCACAAATCGAAAACTCCTTTTGTGTTTTCAATTGTACGCTACGCTACGTTCAATCCTGTATCTCTAACGATTTGTAGGGGCAGCACACAGCTTTCCACCACTTTCATGTAGATGCCTTTAGTTGAAATTTTCAAGAGTAAGAATTTAATGGTCGTGGCATAGTTCATGAAACACCTGGTGCCTACTATGAAAGTGCAGTTGTAAATAAGGGAGGGCCTGAAAGCTGTCCCAGCCATATGCCCATTTTTATGTGCAGTTTTTTAATAATTGATGCTCTCTCAACTGTGGGCTCGCTATCTGCTGTTTCTGATATGGCAACCTGATGTTTTATCAAGGTCGCTTCTCATTTCACATTGCCTCATTTCGATGTTGCCTTTCGTTTTTGAATTTCACTGTTTTATGCATGTCTGTTGTGATTGCCTTTAGCAACATAGGTTTCTGTGGTGACCACACAGCTGAAGGTTCAATTTGCGGCATGAGGGAAAGAAAAAATTAGCTACGAGCATTGTGTTCCTTATTTTTCTATTAGGGGACGGCCTCGTGACTATTACTTTATGAATCTTCCCTGACTACATGAAATTATGCAAAGCGTGTAACCACCTCGCCTAGCTGCTTGCTGCATTACACTGCTTCATCGGGCAGCTTCTGGTATTTTGCTTCCTCATCGACATTCTGTACTTTGTACACCTTGTTCTTATGTTTGTTGCTGCTATCGCATTCTCTGACAGGTGTGGCCCCATGGAGAGTTCCCCCTGATCCCCGTCGGCAAAATGGTGCTGGACCGCAACCCCAAGAACTACTTCTCTGAAGTGGAGCAGATCGCCTTCTGTCCCGCCAACCTTGTGCCGGGCATCGAGCCAAGTCCAGACAAGATGCTTCAGGTAGGTATCTCCTGTTTGGGGTTTGGTTAAGTGTAACTTCATAATAGTCACATCATCATAGCTCACTACCACACTTTTAGTGTTATGGGATACCTTTCAATGTTCATAAAGTATTGAATATTGCAACAGTGAAGAAAGGGCACATTCATGGAACATTTTTTGAAAATGTACAGCTGGAGTAAAGTGTTATTCATACTATTTAGGCTGCAGTGAAGGCTTTATTATGCACTTAATTGATAATTATTGACACATTGAAATTTGCTGGCAACATGAATATTTAAATGCATTGTTGCATACTAAGTGTAAAAATGTCTGTTCGCTATTCAAGTTTGGTTCGATTTGCTTCTGGCACTATCTAATTGTGCTAGATTCAGAACCAACACTGCTATTGGTACACCTCTAGTTCAAGCTTGGGTAGAGTACCCAAGAGGATATATATGCTGTGCACTCGGATGTCATTTACATCCAAGCGCAGCACCCCTTGGATGCTACTGACATGCAAGTGCAGCATGTATATGCCCTTTGAATTATCATTCACATACCCTCAAATGAATGTTTAAAAAATTATTTTAAGAAACTGCTGAGCATAAGACCTGGTTTTGTCTAAAAGATTTGGCAGCCCGAGACTATGACTGCACATGCACAGGTGCAAGCAAGGAGAAAGGCAGGGATTTTGTAGAAATGAATGAATAGGGATGCATCATATAAACTTATTGGCCTAGAACACTTGTTGTATCCTGCTGAAGAAACTTGGTTAGTTCTGTAGAGCTTTTTACAGTACCTCTTGTTTTCTTTGAATCATGTTATTATGTCTTGCGTTGCTAGATGTGTTGCGATGGTGTTAGCATTAGGGATCTGCCTGCATCATGAAGCAGATTACAACCCTCACAGAGTCATGTAACAGGTGGTTCATATTTCACTTTGTATTTTGGAAACATACATTGTTGCACTTAGACTTACTGCCACTCTACTTGCTGAAAATTTAAAACAGTAATATCATGGTTGTGATAACTTATTGTACTACTTTTCACTGATAATAGCTTGGTTTTCAATAATAATAGTTGAATATGTGTAATTAAACTCACGGATGGTGAAGCTAGCTGCTGCCAGAACATCATTATCTTGCCAATTGTCAGCAGTTGTAGAAGGCAGCTATTACTGCATGTTTGCAGAACAGTTGGATCAGTGGTACTGTGTATGTTTGTGTATGTATGTGTGTATATACATGAGTGTGTGCACACACACGTACACATGTGCTTGTGCGAGCAGCAACTTGACCATTGTTAGCTATGCTCAGCAATTTCTCAGCTTCAGGCTATAATATCAACTTCAGTATTTAATATAGTGCTTCATGTTTCCCAGGGTCGTCTGTTCTCCTACAGCGACACGCACAGGCACCGCCTTGGGCCCAACTTCATGCAAATTCCAGTGAACTGCCCCTACAAGGCACGCACAGCCAACTACGAGCGTGATGCATTCATGACTGTGAAGGAACAAGGTACAGTCTTTGGTCTTCAAGATGCTTTATTGCTTGTTTCATGAAGTAAAGCATTATAAAATCTTTCATTTGCCTTTATAAGCACTGTCACTTCTTGATCATACCATCGGCTTAACTCGTGTAAAGAATTCTTTTTAGGAGCAAAGATTCTTGAGGTGTGGGCTGAGCATCCTGTCGTAATCGTACGTAGCCACCTCGCGGTACTTGTACATATAACAAAATGAATATACCCTGCAAAATGCAAATGGTACAATACTAGAGGACATTACTTGTAGTATGAAAAATAATAAAAATTGCAGCATATCCATGGAGTGAATGATGATGACTGGGGCGAAGTGTCTGTCAGTCTGTTGGCACTTCCGTCCATGCGTGTGTCTATTCGTGTATCTGCACACCCATCCATGCATCCGTTCATTCATGCATCTGCCCCTGTGTCCATCTGTGCATCCATCTGTGCGTCAGTCTATCCGGCCATCCATCCATCCGTGCTTTCGTCCGTTTACCCGTGCGTCCATTTGTTCATTCGTGAGTCCGTCCGTCCATTCGTGTATCCGTTCATGTGTCCGTCCGTCCCTGCATTCGTCCATGCATCCGTGCGTCCGTCCCTGCGTTCGTCCATGCGTCCGTCTGTCCATGCGTTTATCCATTAGTGCGTCAAACAGACAGACAGACAATGGACGGATGCAGCCGGCGGATGATTCACGGTTTGCCGATAAAACCTTCCGAAGCTTCACCCTGCTCATCGTCATTCACTATCTGCTGTGATTTTTTAAAATCTTTTGATGTGCATACATGAACACTTTCTTGGACTCGTAAACCTGATTTTCTGCCTTGATACACAACATTGAGTGTCTAAAAGACCGCCAAGTGTGTCTTTTTGAAAACAGAGAGGGGTTTAGCGTGAACCATGAGATAGGTCAGTCAATTCAAATCTTTGCTTAAGCCGATGAAAATATTTATAAAAAGTTTTTAATAATTTACAAAAATTTCATGTCATTCTCATTTACATTAGGCTCTTCATTAAAGGAGTTTTGGTTGTTTTGTAATGCAATAAATTCTTTTGCTATGCACATAAAGCTGCATCTTTTCTATTATCCCTACAACGAATATTAAGCCTCCATATTTCTGAAAAGATGTATTGTTATTTACTGTCACAAGTGCAAACAGAACTGGTGATAAATTGCCCTTTTGCTTTTGATGACTAGACCTAATTATTGTTTTGTAGCTTAATGAATAGTGTCTGGACAGTAATTAGAAAACCATAAAATTTTGCCATAAAGCTTGATGAAGTTTTTAATGATTTAAATTATTTCTGTGCAATCTGTAACTCTAAAAGCATTCTTTTATTGGCAAAGATTTAGTTGGCTGTAGTAAATTTAATGATAGAAAGGTCTGTGTACTGTATGTAACAATGGCACCTTTGTCTCACTGTATACATTTCTTGAAGCACTTAATTCCATGCTGTGAAAAATACATCTTGACAAGCTTTTCTTGTTTAGTGGATGGGTGTTGAAAAGGCTTTTGTAGCCTTTCCAAATGATTGCTGCCCAAAATATGCATAGTGTTTTGCGGAAGTCGGCATGGTGTTTGCATTAATACTGTACAACTCAAGACTTACGTACTTGTGTACATATACATGCACAGTCTACGCAATATTCATCAATGTTTTATGTTTTCTCTTGAGATGTATCTGATTGTGTTGCATTTTGATGACTCTCTCTTGTGAGTTTTTTACTAGCGATGACAGCTTAGTGGTAAAAAGTGTCTAGCTGTTAAGTTTTAAAAATTGAGTTTCGTTTTGGCCACAGCAGCTATATTTCAATCATGCAAAATGTAGAAGCATTTATGTAACTAGATTTAGGTGCACATAATTGAACCCCAGGGGATCTATATCGATTCGTAGTCTTCCCCAATGTGGAATGCTTTAAATTACCATGATTTGGAGACGTGACACCCGAGAAGCGAAATTTCTTTGTGTAATTCCTCAATCTATGTTGGATGCTAAGAAGGCTTTCTGACTTCACACAAAGCTTCTTACAACTCTTTGTATTCTTCATCACATTAAAAGCCGTGTCTGTCATATTATGTCTGAGCAGGTTGACAGTGTAATGATTTAGAGGGTGTGCCAATAGTTCAAGCACAGTGTTCTCATTAAAAGTGTTTTGTTTGCTGTCTCTTGATGAAAGAAAATGTTTTTTTGTCAAATGTTGTGTGTTATTGTTGTGTCATGCTACGCAGATGGATGCCCGAACTACTTCCCAAACAGCTTCTCTGGTCCGTTGGATAACCCCAAGATGAAGGAGCCGAAGTTTGAAATTCATGGAGATGTTGACCGCTGGAACAGTGCCGACGAGGACAACTTCTCTCAGCCAGGAAACTTCTGGAAGGTTTGTAGTCGCGAACTTTCTGCACATGTAACATGCTGACCCCACTGCTTTCTAACTGTAATCTAACAAGATATGTTGCTTGCATAATCAGTGTATTTTGGCAAACTTTCATTGTCTCATGCCTCAATCAGTCCATGAAGTTTTCTTTTTCAAATCATGCAGGCCCTTAGCCAATGGTTGGGAACCGGGGCCCAGGCCCTCTTTTCCATCCTAAAACTGGTGCTTCTTGAAAAGGCACTTTCCTAAAATAGTCAAGGCAATCAGCGAATGCATCCCCCCTTTTCTCTAAAAAAAATTGCTGACTATAAGCTCGATAGCAATCAATGTTAGAACATTTACTTGGTGAGAATAATCCAAAATGTTCTCATTTAATTTTCACAGCTTCATATCTGACAAATTTTTTTCTTCTTACTTCTGATGGCCACCCCTTATTTAATGTCCCTTAGGACCCTTGAAGTATAAATAAATAAATAAATAAATAAATAACTTCTATTTCAATTGTTGTTATACTTGAAAGCAATTGCTTCTGCTTATTGATAACTAATGCTTTTGCAACAAACCTTTTGGCACACTAAAACAACAAGCATTGTGCACTGAGTGTTTTATTGGTATACTCACATTCCTAAATCAATCTTTAATATTCACGCAAGATACTGCTGAGGCCTGAGAGAACAGTTGTTTTTCTCAATAACCGACTATGTGTAAAATCGCACAATGTCTTGCAAACTTTCATCGTGCCAGTACTAGTCACCAACTGCTCATTCACCCGTGAGTGCTGCAGTCTTCAAATGCTGTCATTAGCTCCAAATTACATTCAAAACTGTGCTGAATAGTAACAGCAATTTTCATCTTTAGAATATTTATAACTTGTCCAGAGTGCGTTGCTCTTACTCTGAGAGTGAACTAGTACTTCTCATGAAAAGGGCTCATTGTGTCTTTAACAAAAGAAGCTGTGGGAAAATTGGTCAGTATATGCCTTCTCATGAAATCATTGCTTCGTTTGACAGTTAAGGTAGAGCTATATTTTCAACTAAGAGCGAAATGTGTCTATAATGAGTAGCCAAGTATTCATAGTTTGAAAAGTTGGGTGTGACAAACAAGAACACAATTATGGGAAACGGTAAGGAAAGCACTAATTGCTTTAGTTCAGGAGGCTTTGTTCTTGTAGTTTATGCTGCACGAATCAAAGTACAGCAGTGCTATTGGTGAAGCTCTGCTCCCCACAGTGTTGTACAAGTTATAAGGGAGCACTGTCGCTTAAATGCAAGGTATTCAGAAAAACTATCAATCCTCAAGCACACTCCACTTTAAAACTTCTTCGAAACTTCTTGACTCTGTTAATTAATTAAAATTTGCTGAGATTGTTTATTTGTGTGCTGATTTAAATATACAATGCTTTCTCTAATGCATTCTTAGAGTATCAAAAATTTTGTGTATTTAGGAGAAAGATTTTGTTTCCTGAGTTTGTAATCGCAGTGTAAATTAGTATGTAAGAGTAATCTGCCAATGATACAATATGAAAATTCAAAAAATTTAAATTTCATATTGAAATCAACTAACTTGTTAATATTGAAGATATAACTTTATTTGAATGTATTTACAACATTCATTTTTCTCCTATTGGACTTAGTTTTTGCTCTTGATTATTCTGATATTCTAATTTATTTTGCAACCTTCCTAATCCAGGGGGCACTATTGCCTCCCCAAAAAGTGCATAAAATGTTTGATATTTTAAAAAGTGTAAAATATATTAAAAAAATGATTGCATTGTTGAAATTGGTTCACCAGTATACATGAAGTGAATCAGTTTTATCGAAGCAGGTTGAGAATTGAAAACAAAACTTTATAATAAAGTGGTGACACTCCCCCTGAATCTTACTTATGGGACTGGTAAACATTTCGTGCTTTTTACTGTCTCAACTCACAGATGCTGAGTGCCGAGGAGAGGGACCGCCTTACCTCTAACATCGCCAACCACCTGAAGGATGCTCAGGACTTCATCCGCCAGCGGGCCGTCACGAACTTCACCAAGGCACACCCCGATTGCGGTGGCCAGATCGCTAAGAAGCTTGAGAAGCTCGTGCAGGTGAGTCCACCTGTGCCACCTGCGTTTCGGCATTGTCCTTCACCATGCTTGTGGTTCAAAAGTGTCACATAAAGTTGATTATTATTATTGAACACACCCACACTTGGTCTGTTAAATTTTTACAGGGTAAAAGTCCCTGAATAACGTAAGTGACGCTAGTTTTCGTCTAGCACGCATGTTTCTGGCTTCAACAGCAATTTGAAGGTGCCACACTAGTCTTTTTGAATTTCCTCCGCAAAAAATATTTATGCTGGCCTTGTAGGACAGCTGTATACCTACACCTGCTTCTAGTCCACATTGCAACTGTTAGCTGTCCCACAAAGTTGATTATTATTATATGCACCCAAGTTTAGTCAGTTTCATTTTCAGAGCCAACGAAGCCCTTACTGACAGTAAGTAGAGCTAGTTTTTATCCAGCACACATATCAAAAGTGTTTCTGACAGGTGCTGCACTAGTTGTCATGAGAGTCATGACAGTCTTTGGGAATTGCCTTGACTAGAAATTTTGCCAGTAACCTTATGCAAAAGCAATATAACTTTCACAAAATTAGAGTACATGCAGGAACTTCTCGCTGGTGTAGAAACTGGAAGAATAGTATTCTTCAAGTCTCTAGATACAGCAGTTGTGGTTTTATCTTCTAGAAAGTCACTAATGAAGGCCCATTCAAAGAATCAAATTTTCAGCAAGTCTTTCATGCTTCCTGGTCTTTGCTAGCAGTGCTTAAAACCACTATTAGGTTACTCCAGTGCCTAAGTTGGTGTCAAGCCATAATATACAAGATGTGAAGCTAGTTTAATTGGCTTAATCAAGTTTACTAGATGTGTTATACTAATTATGTGAGCCCTACTAAGCATATATGTATTGTCAAAGGGCTTATCAAAATAAACTCTTTGTGCACCAATGTAGATGTTGGATAATGCTTGCGTACATATCTGTATGTTCAAAAATATATATAGTGCCCATCGGCTGGCGTTTGCCTCAAATTACACTTATGTGGTGAATTATCACTTCACAATTTACATGCAGACTGGCTTTTGCTACTCGACAGCTTTCTTTCAGTAACCATATTACACACCGCTTTCTACCTTCCTGGGAGAGATGTATTCCAAAAAAGCTTTTGTCTAAAACTATGAGTATACTGGCTACTGCCATTAAAGATGTAAGTTATGGTGATATTAAATTTGAGATGGCCAGCTCCATTGCTTGTAGATTTCATGAATAGCAGTTATATATTATTGTTACCGAGTACACAGACATACGAGTACGCAGTGTGTACAGAGTATACACTGCGTAATAAACCACTTGTTTTAGTTCTAAAATACAACAGCCGTTGAATCTCTTAAGCTGTTGCATCTCTCTTCATCCTCGACTTCTTGTGTTGTTTCACGTTTATGTAACATAACTTGTCTTTCAGTCTTCACCAGTGAAGAACGTGTTTCCAACTAAATTTTTCCCAAAGTAGTGACAACTTCCTACTCAAACGAAGCAAAGCCAGTAATTTCACCAAAACCCGGTTTTTGGTATGTAAAATATGTGCCAGAAATTTATAAATTCAGGGTGCAAGCTTGACGTGCATGGGAGGAAAGAGTTGAGGCATGCTTTCAAATACCCAAGCAAGTTTTTCAGGAATGACATTTCTGATTTTGCATGTATGTGAGATGCACGGGGAGATAAACAGATATTTTCAGACCCGGTTCATGTCATTTGTCTGAACACAACTGGACTACCTGCATTCACTTTGCTGTTTTGTATTGTTCATAATCTTTTGCACCAAACTTTTAGCCAGGGCAGGGGGAAGACTTCTCATGAAGAGGTAGGCGTATAGTATTCTTAGAAACATTCAGCCATATGTCATCTTTACAGAACTGCACTTTTTTGCTTGGCAAAGATGTGCAAATGTGCAAATAGCAGTTGTGTATTATAGTACCAGAAGCAACTGAACTAGAGTATTTTTTATTATCGGGTATTCATGGTCAAAAGGTTCTGTTTCCAAACATTTTGGACAAAAGTACTGATGTTCAGAAAACTGAAAACTGACATGAGTGTTATTTTAGTAAAGCATAGTCTCTAAAGTGCAAAGTGATATTTGTGCTCTATGTAATACATGAAGCCATGCTTTTATCTTCGTGCTAATTTGTGACCAGGCATAAAACAAAGCCATTTGCAGAGACAAGGGCAAAAACCAAATAAGTTTTTGTTACAGTAGTTAGGGATGTATGAAGATTTGATTTTGCAGAGTGCATAATTAAAAACACCATGAAACAATATCAAATCATGCATGCAGCTTCTGTGTGAAATTGAAATTTTATTGCAACTGATACGTCCTTGATATTGCCTGATGGCCTGAGTGACTTTGCCGACTTTAAGACAAAATGTTTAAGACAAGAGGGCAAGAGTTAAAATATGCTGCATTCATGCTTCAGTTTTATGTTGATTGTGCTTTATTGATGACAATAATTATTCCAAAATTCTAAGAAAACCATTAGATTGTAAGTAGTGAACATGAAATTGAAAGGCATAATTGAATTAGTTTGATTGGCCGTTTGAGAACTTCATATTTTTTTCTTTTATATTTCATATTTTTTTAAACAGAAATTCATTTTCCCTAAACTTTTGCAAAGTTTCTAGTTTTGCCAAGTTAGCTGCATGTGCAACGAAAATTGGCACTCGCCTCAATCAAAGTGCGCATGTGGATGGGCATCCATGTTCACGCATGTTCTGTCCACTCTTTTTCGTACCAGTTAAAACCATGGTTCACAAGGCCATTTTTGGGGATCACTCTAGGGAAAACCTAAAATGCATGGTTATCAGAACAGCAGTTTACATTTGGTGAGACCCCTATAAGCATTTTTCAGCATTTTTTGACCACATGCACTTTTCATCGCACCTCGCTAAAGTTCGTTGCACTATGAAAAAAAGAGCAACCTGCTGTTCATGCCTCCAGCGAATACCCAGACAGGCTCGGCACTGAAAGTGAAGACCCTGGTAAATCCTGTCAAAGGTTGTGGCTCTATTTTAAAGAACCAATACTTTTTCACATAGTCCTTGTTTTGTACACCCCGATATTGAAATGTTTCGTATCCATTTTAACGACTCGATATATTGTCTGTATGAGTGTTACGTTAGAAAATTTATATGCGATCTTCACACACTCTAGTAAATATGCAGAACTCATACAGACTAATAGAATAGTGTATGGAACAAGTCAATGGGGATGTTGTATATATTCAGTATTAGCAATAACAGTGCAAAAAAAGTTGAAGAGTGGTGTTCTACTTTTGTTAAGTTCTCCTTTTATCACTGTTGCTTATGATGTTGTTACAATAGACTTCACTGTTGCTTATGATGTTGTTACAATAGACTTCCCTGTTGACACAGCGTCCCCTCAAATTTTTTTCTACCTTTTACAGTGATTGGAAATCCTGTCAAAACAAGAGAAGGCCTAAAAAATGTCTTTGGACGCAAATTTTGTGCAAAATTCTTTTAAATAAGTGCAATCTACAGTACCCTCTTTCAGAAACCTGCTTAATTTGACATCAGCTAACACACTAGAAGTAATTTCTCTTAACATTTTCATTCCCGAGTTCACATTATAAGACCGAAAGTTTTTGTTCATTTGAATTAGGCAACTTCTCGGAACAGGAGTGTATGAATTACGTTTTACAATTTATTATGGCCACGTATTCAACTGTCTCGAAAAAAAATTTGTTTTGGACATTATTTTACCAGTGCAGTATAGTTGCATAATTTTATTCTAAGTTTTCACAAAAGGAAGCTGGAGTAACGAATGGTCTACAGTGTCTGCACACAGTTTGCTTGCATGTTGCACGGCCACTCACAAAGATTGAACGCTTCACAATGGTTTGTTATTTTTATCTCAGCCTGTCCCACTGATGCCAGCTTTTTACCACTGCAACAAACTCAGAATACACAATGGAAGTTTGCTTATCCACTCATGCTGTTTGTGCTTGATCTGCTTTCGTTAGTCACTGCCAATGAGAGTGCTTCAAGTGTTGTTTATATAACGCTGCTCGCAGAGTGTGAGCTCTACAGTATTTTTATAGCTGGGTTTCTCAGATATAGGATAGTGTACATAGTTAAAAGCAAAATGGAAAATTTATACGATGTCAAGATAGTGTGCCGATTGTGCCACACTGATAACTAAACTCCGCAAGGTGTGGCTAACCAACGTGTTGCTGCTCAAAGAAGAGAAAGTTTGAGTACTTCTTTGTTTTATTTTATTCAAATGAGTGACATCAGTTACATCTAATAAACTATTTCAGGCATTTTTAAGAATGGATACTTTTCTCGTACTGCTTAAGCATGCTTTTAGCATAGTCAACACTTTCACTTTATTTTTGAATATTTGTATGTACAAAGCTTTTAGCTAAGCTTGGAAAAGCTTTTAAATTTAAGGCCATTAAAATTTTTTCTGAGATAAAATGTGAATGCGCTGCTTAGAAGCCCTATTTCACAGCAATGCATTTGTTGCAAAAGATGAGCCGTTAACATCTTTACTAACCTAATCACACACTCACAAGGTGTCACTAACCTAATGATGCATTTACAACAAAACACTGTCTGGCTGAGTGCTCCTCGATTAATGATCAGGCATAGATAAATATACCAGGAATGTTCTTAAATATTCACTAAAACTTTATGCCAGCAAATGATGGTAAAAACTGCATAACAGCCCTTTTATTGTTGCAAAATAATTACACATATCTCTTGCATTATGCTTTAGCAATCAATTTTGCTTCAAGCTTTTCACTCGACAAAATGTCAAGTTGTCTCATTCGTAACACAAGCATGGCTGGTGCAAGGCGTGAAAACATGCTTATTTCCTAGGTCTGCTGCTTCTTGTTTGGTGGTTCCTGCTTTGACATTTGCATTGCTAATGTTTTTCATGCATGAAATTAAGTTGCCAATAATGTTTTCTTGTGTTAAAGCGCTCCTCCAGCAACCTGGCTGTAAGTGAAAATTCTTTTTGTTGCATCATCTACATCACCAATAACACTTCACTTTTATTCTCTTCAACAATTTCTTAATTAGCATCCTAGTTGCACTCTACTTCCTGATGGAGCAGAAACGAGGTAGAACTGATCACGTTCCCGAATGAATCAGCCAATACGTCTCGTGATAACTACAACTTTTTAGATAAACTATATTTAAAAAATAAAAGACACGCTCAAAGCTGGGGTACTGTAGTGGTGAATCAGCACCTTGTGCTCCACCAAATACACATGACTGAGAAATCATTAATTTTAAATGCAGTATATAAGATGCCAAGATAAAGAGCTCGAATAGGAACAAAGCTTCAAGGTTCCACACATTTAATTGTTTGTAGAATATGATTTGAAATATTTTTTTCTTTATTGTAGAATTCCAAGGGAATTAATTTTTATGTGAACTTAAAGGAACACTGTACCTTTATTGCACTGAATTTGTAAATTTATTTATTCATATTGGTGTGTATAATTGGTTGCCATAAAATTAATGTGGCTCCAGTTGATTAGGTATAAAAGAAAGGCACTTCTTTCCATATTGTGGTGCTCTTGCTGTGCTGTCACTCCGTAAAAGCATCAACAGCATTGCTTTGCATGTGCTTTCATAAATACTATAACAATTGGTTGGTATATGTTACTTACTCTTCAACATAAAGAAAACATTTGAGCTTGCTCAGTTACTGTACCTGCAACAAAAATACCAGCTGCAAAGATTGAAAGCTGTCCCTCATACTTGCCTCTAGCACACTTCGGCAACATTGCTTAGAAATGTTCAGGAACACAATACTGGCATTTTCAAGTTTGTGGGTAATTGGTTTGTGTTTATTTCCCAGCAGGGAAACTCCATATTCATAGAATTTCAGTGATCCAAGAGAGCCACGGCATACAGCATCACAAATGTCATTTCGTACCGAAACTATCCTTTGGCACATGCTTTCTGTATTCTCATCATTAGTTTCACTGCCCAATATATTGAGCCGTTAACAGCACGACATGTCGGTTAAAGTTAATGTTCTATGGCTTATACAGTCTTTCTTTGCTATTGCAGATTGATTTCAGCCCTTGTTATTAAAGTTAGCACTGAACATAAAATTCTGAATTGCCTATTGCTGATTGATTTCAGCCCTTGTAGTTAAAATTAGCACTGAACATAAAATTCTGAATTGCCAACTGGCCCAAGCATGCAGATTGTTATGTATTACTCTAGAAACGTTTCACCCATACATTTGTTTGCACCTTAAGCCCTGAACTCTGTTTACACTCTTTCTAATAATATTTCTATTTCATTTTTCTCACCTAGCAATACCCATCCTCAAGCTCATGGGGGGTGTAAAACTTCCGAAAACTTTACTATTATTTTTAAAGCAACATTGCACAGTGTGCCCAGACGTTTTTGTGAACCCTCGACTGATTCAAACATTTTGCTTCTTTACAGAGTGCAAAACTCTGAAGACCCGATCATCTACTACACGAGCCCTTCACTGGGCAACTTCATTCTGGGAGACGGTACATATAGGCCTTAATCTGCTACCAATAACTGTCACTGCTACACCGGTGCTGTGTCACGCTACTCACAAGCACCGCCGTTGTGGCATCCTTTACTTAACTTGTTTGTTACAGTTCTCTTTTTCTTGTTGCTGGTCAATAAACATTTGTGTTGTTTATACCTTTCATTTGCCTACAGCTGTGTTTCTTTGCTCAGCCATTCCAACTGGTCAGTTAAATTGAAAAACTGCATTTTGAATGTAAATGTTTCGTGTGCTAAGTTTCATGAGCTGCTGTTGTATACTTTTCTCTTGAAAGATACTTGTAAACGGCTAAACATGATATCTCTAAACACACTCCACCTTACACTTTATTCTATTTGCTTAGTAGACTCTAGTTATTGTAGTTTAGTTCTCCTTTTGAGACCAGACTCTCGAACACGTAGCCTGCTGGCCTTTGTCTAGCGGCCAGGCCTGCGCATGACAGCACAACAGTCTTCATCTGTTATCTATATGGGCATATATCATAAAAGAAATGTGCCCATGAGTGACAGGCGTCACAGCCTCAAGCGTTTCTTTTCGCAAAAGCACTCTAACGCAGTCACCGTGCTCTGAACATAACCATGAAACAAAAAGCTTGTTCACTTCGTTAATTTGGAAAATCCGCTAATTAAGACGTGTTTCCTGGTCCCGTGGCCAGTCAATGCATTGTTTGTAGACACCAAACTTTTTATTGCTAATGCTGTCACATTTGGTGGCAACCTGGCTGATGTGGACAGTCCTTGTAGCAGCGCTTTGAGCACACGATGGCACATTCCACACCACTTTCTTTATCAGTAAGTGACCACGGTTTTGAAATAACCCGGCACTCTGCAGGTTTATTTTAACTTGAATCAAAATTGGGGTGCAATGTCATCAAACCTGAACATAGCAAGAACTGTTGAACACAGAGCTTTCAGCTACGGTCGGTACGCTGGCACGCCGTTTTCTAAATCATGATGGACGAACCATCAGTTTCCAGCCATTTTCATAACAATCGTCAAGTGCATGGTGTGGTGGTGATTGTACATATAATGAGAGAAAAGTTGAACACACGTTTTGGCTTAAGTAAATTTAAAGTCCGTTGCCGTGGTCGCATTGCATATGAAATCACAGGATGACAAAAAACGTGATGTTTCAACTGTGCTTAATGCAAAACATAGAATTTACGTATTCCTCAACAAAATAAAATACTGACCATTAGTGTAACACTTGTTCGTTTTCTTGATACTCGAACATGGCTTTTATATTGACATTCGGCTAATCAAAAATTTTTTGGGGAGTCTCATTAAGTTAGAATTGACGACCTTTTACTGTACTTCATAATCGTCATCCATGTTTCAGCCATTCTGGATATCAGCATCGTTACGTTCCCCGAAGCCTTGCGTCGAATCTCCGTATCAATAATTAGCTCATGCGTCGTATATGGGAAATTCCAGAACTTAGAAATCTCTACTCAGCCACTCAATTCTCCTGTAGCGAACATAATGGCCAATGCAACAAGTGCTTTGCTTTACTGCCTATAATGTGCAGTGGGTAGCAAAACTGGACAAAGTTTGTAATAGACGTCCCCGGCTTTTCTTCAATCCTTCTGTGGGTTGGTAACTGAAATAAAACCTAGAATTTGTTTCATTTTCCATTTGCACATTTGTGTTAAGTAACTGCCACTGATTGGCCATGGGAATATCTAAATAGGTACTGACTTTCAATGTGTACTGTGCCTGAATGGCTTCAACGAATGCCTTGGCATTGTCCAGAAAATGCAAATGAATGATCTCCAGAAGAAAATTGGTTTACGATGTAGTGAATGTCAATCTTTCGTAGGCTGTGTGCTAATCCAGGAAAATGCACCAGCCAACGTTTCATTCTATCTCCCAACAGTGTGGGACTACAATTCAGCAGGGCTGTCTGCTTGACTACTACCACCACTAAAGCCACTACTACTACTACTAATACTACTACTATTGCTACTGTAAGGAATTTTTAGTAACTACCAGTACATCTGATTGCACTACCATGTTTGTCTTGGTTTACTCAAAATACACCCGGTCCTGAACCAATCTCTCACAAATGTCACTTCTGTTGCATTACCACTGGGTCAGCTGACATACTACAATGCAGTTTACTGACTGCTGTTCTGTTGTTGCTACTTTTTACTGCAGATCACAACTACTACTGCCACCACCACATTCCCTTTTGCCAAATATACTACTACTACTACACTATAACGTCATGCGTAGACTTTCTACTCCACTACATTTGTTGCTTCATCCTTGTTTCATTCATGATTTTGCACCACGGACGTCTCGCGTCTGGCCGGCTCCATGTCATATATGCGTTAAAAGGGCCCAGGTGCACCTGTTTCCCGTTGCAATAGACCGTGCATTGCCAGAGCCTGTCTGTGCCCTCGTCACATAACATGTGTACGGGACAGAAAAGAAAAAGAGGGAAAAGCCTCGCGACGGAATAAGATATATAGGCATACCATATGCTCTCCAGGGTGGCTGGGATCGCGAATTGCCGAATACAGTACTGTGCCTGACAACCAGACTGTGCGTGTATCGGAAGTCAGGTGTTTCGTTGGATGGTTCGCGATTGCGGAGAAGTCTCTCTCGGGATTAATTGAAATCCTGGTGCACAGCGTGTGCGGAACCACCGCAAACGCTGGGTTTAACTTAACAAGGAAACTGCACTGTGTCCCGTGGCCTGTCCAGGATAGACGTTCTGCCGAGGCCATCCGGTGTCTTTCGATTGCACCGTCGAAGGGTAAGCCTTAGTGTTATTTTGGTTCGCTGGTGGATTTATCTCGCAGTTATGCTTGGGTAAGTCTTCAACAGCTCACCGGCCGATCAGACCACGTGTGCAGTCAGCCTTGAACGGCCAAAACTTGAATTTTGCAGCGCAGCTCGATGAGGATCATTCTTTACAAGCTGGTCTCATTTTCAGGCTGGTAAACAGCTAGACAGACGGAAGCAAATGCTCACAGTGAATTACTACAGAGACATTCATAGAATAACAGACAGAGCAAAGATCGTGTATGGGATAGATAGATAGATAGATAGATAGATAGATAGATAGATAGATAGATAGATAGATAGATAGATAGATAGATAGATAGACAGACAGACAGACAGACAGACGGACGGACGGACGGATAGATAGATAGATAGATAGATAGATAGATAGATAGATAGATAGATAGATAGATAGATAGATAGATAGATAGATAGATAGATAGATAGATAGACAGACAGACAGACAGACAGACAGACAGACAGACAGACAGACAGACAGACAGACAGACAGACAGACAGACAGATAGATAGATAGATAGATAGATAGATAGATAGATAGATAGATAGATAGATAGATAGATAGATAGATAGATAGATAGATAGCGGTGTCAAAGGCTGCTATTTCAAAGGATGCACCTGAGATATCTCCCTACCATCGTTTTGAGCATGGAGGAAGGAAAAAAAAATGAAGGGAGCACACCTTGCGTTCTCACGACAAACTCCTCTTAAAGGCCGTTTCACATGATACAAAAAGTAGCGATGCTCCTATCGTTCGTGTCTTATTTCCCGTGATGCTCCTGTTTTATTTTGCTTGTTTATTTTTGGTGAGCTCTAAAATGAAAATTGGCAGCTTATCCACGAAGTGATTGCTGAATATGAGTAATGCTGATGATGTAGCGAAGCTCCTTGGATGATTATGAACTGTGTGTGAAACGGGTATTTTAAATGACTGCAATGATGCCAGGTGGCCACAGGGGCACGCCAACAGACACCGGTCGTGTTGGTCGTGCCTCGCGTCGGCTTCTAAAGGCCTGACCAAACGTAACCGTTGCAACGGAGTCCGTGTTGGCTGGTCGCTTGTTTTCGCTCTCCGCTTACACGCAGGGGCCTGCGGGAGCCCCATATCACAATGGCGATGCTTTAATTGCGAAGCTGTCACGTGTAAATACCGCGAAAACGTCAGCGCCGAACACCGAGCACGAAGAGATGAAAAAGAAGAGCGCGGTGGCACAGTGGATCGAGGCGCGCTTTCAGGGTTCGGGCCAGGCGCAGAGCAGTTCCGGGCCCGAAGATGAGCGAGACGTTTTGCCGGGGAGAAGAGGGCGAGCACAGAAGACCACGGAGCCGAGCAAGGTCCAGGGTGGCTGAAGTGCCGAGGCTCCAGGTGCCAGTGTTCGGGTGACTCGCTGATCAAAGAGCCGCCGAGTGGTGCCGAGTCGTACCGAGCGATGTGCCAGTTTGTGACGTTGGCTGCTGGCCCATGAACGTTTGCACCACCCTAGCTGTACTTGGCAGTGTTCTCGCTGAGGCGAGGAACGTTTGTTGAGCTGCCACACCGAAGCTGTGGCGAGCAGCATCCCAGCATGGCGTAGACAGTGCTGCGCTGGGTGGAACCCGCACGTGGAATCCTGGGTGGTGCTCGAGACGTTCTCGAGGTCGGGCTGGTCCAGGCATCTCCGAGGCATCGCTACCACTGCCTCAAAGCCGTGGTCCTCAAATCACGGGACTACCACCAGGTCTCGAGGTCGCGAGGGTCCAAGCACCATCTAGACGCCACTACTGCTTACCGAAAGCCGTAAGCCTCACATCTGGGGACTACCATCCACTCTATTACTCGCGTCCTGTCGCGGACGCCAAAGAAGTTGTGATGGTTAGGGTGGTTCGGCACTTCTCGCCGCAGCTTTGGTGCAGCAGCTCAACAGACGTTCCTCGCCTCAGCAAGGACACTGCCGGGCACAGCTAGAGTGCGGACGCTTATGGGCCAGCAGCCCACGCCACAGCCTGGCACATCGCTCGGTACGGCTCGGCGGCCCTTATATCAGCGAGTCACCCGAAAGCTGGCACCGGGAACCTGGGCACATCGGCCACGCTGGACCTCGCCCAGTTCCATGGTCCTCCGTACTCGCCCTCTTCTCGCCCGGCAGAACGGCTCGCTCGTCTTGGAGCCCGGAACTGCCCAGCGCCTGGCCCGAACACTGAAAGCGCACCTCGTGCAACCGTTCCACCACGCTCTTCTTTTTCGTCAATTCGTGCTCGGTGGTCGGCGCCGATGTTTTCGCGGCATTTACATAGGTATTTACGCGTGACAGAATCTTTTTGACGCGGCGCCAGACCCTCTCCCTATGAAGAGAGAGC